AGCAAGCTGTCCAGTCTGACAGGCAGCAAAGCAGCCGCAAATCACTGTGAGCCTTCCACCATTCGTCACTGCTGGGATGATGTTTTCATGCTTTTAGTTTCATCAGCCCACAGAACAGTTTCCAAGGAGCATTGGGGAGTGTCAGGATGCTCGTTCTGCAAACTTTAGGCAAGCACTGGTGTTTCTATGCCTCCATGCAGACAGCAGCCGTATGTTGTGGAGTTTTCTGTTTATCCATTCATCCCATTCTCAGGGATGGACTTATTAAAGAAAAAAGAAAGGTGAAGGTCAGTGTGACCTCACAAAACATGTTTTGTTGAATGTGCTTCGCTGTCACTCAACTGGTGAACGTGATATCTGAGGAATGGCACAAAGGATTTGCTTCAATTCTGAAACAAACATTCAGTTGGACTCAGCGATGAACGAGTTGTATTTTGGTTGTCAAAAGGTCAAGGTCAGTGTGACCTCATGTCTGGCTCATTTTGTGGGATTTTTTTATACATTTATTATGTTTTTTTTTGTTTGTTTTTTTTACATTTGCCACAAATAGCCCTTAAAAATCAAAATTTGATCACAAAAGATCTTTTCGTCAAAACTCAAGAATCCGTTCATTAATTGTGACGACACAGCTGAAACTGATGACATGATGGCTTTTTATATTCAAAAGGTCAAAGATCAAGTGCAGTGTGACATTAACAATACCTTTTATTAAATCTACTTGTCTGAAATAATTTCTTTTTTTACATACACAACTTATACTTAATATTTGAATGCTTTAAGAAGAATTTGTGACCATTTTCAGGTCTGTGGAACAATTAATAGTTCTTTAGGTCCCTTTTTGCGAGGCATAGTTCATATTCTCAAATGTTTGTTTTGAATAGCAAACTCAAATGATTGTTGTTGCTGTTTTCTTTTCTTTTTTAAAAACAATAAATCAGCACAAGTCAGTGTTGCGCTCAACACACTTTCACTTTATTAATAATTTGGGCTCCATATTTTTTAAACCTCAGAATTAACTTTTGTTGTTGTTGAATGTTTATTTTGTAGATACTGTATGTAAAGATGTACTCAGTATGGATAAGTGTTCTACAATCTTTTGTGTGTTATTTGTTTAAATAGTTTGTCCCTTATATAGAGATCTGATCACATTTAAGATGAATCTATACATACATGTAGATTCAACAACTAGATTTTCGAGCCACTCCAAGGCGGCTGCCATGATTATTAATAAAGATGTCAGCACTTCAGCTCCATCCCTCATGTCTGACAGTCTGGGCTCATCGATCAAATGTAATCACAGTCTGGTCATATATCACATCTCCAACTCCCAAACACACACACACACACACACACACACACACACACGAGAAAAAACTTTTTACATCCTTCTCATGAGGAAACAGCCAAGAGACACTATTTGAGTAGATTAACTCACTGAACCCCAAACTACTCGCTCAATCTTCTCAGCAATTTCATACAGACTCAGGCCTGCAGCTCCACTGTAGCTAGAAAGAAAATGCTGAACTCACTACTGTAAACCTATAGAGTTTATAGGGTTTGTGTGAGAAAAAAAAAAAAGACAGGAACATTTTGAAATTCAAATACAGATGCACATGCAGTTCCACATAATTCCATCACGTCATTTCAATGGTCATCCTCAGTGTTAAAAAAGCTATTTTTTCTCCCTCAACTACCTTGAATCTACACCAGGCAGACTCAGCTGATGCTGCAGCGTACCTGGTGACATGTGAATAACCTTACACCTAAAATCAAACTGAACTTTTAGTGCCTGCATGTCCTGAGTAATCACTATAATGATCATTTCTGTGCCTTTAAATTCAGATGCATTCATATGAAATCTAAATAAATTCAAACTAAATGTTTTCATGATATTTTTTCAGCTAGTTTATGAAACAACAGAGAAGTAAAGGAACTCACACTCATAGGAGGGAAAACCTTGCTTTGTGGAGGTGAAAAATCGCATTAGGTTTAACATAATCCTCCTTTTTTTGGATAATTCGGTTTCCACAACACCCCCGAAAACATGGACGTTATTTGAAGGCTTTCAAATTACGCATCTGACTTCTCTGCATGTGCTGCATATGGAGTCTTTTTAACTTGAATCAAGGTGGGCAGATTTATGATAAAGAGGCCCACACTGCTCATAAATTTGCCATTTGTTTATGAGCCGAGTGCCTTCCTCTCCCACAGTACACACAGCCAGTCAGGATACCTGTTCGTAATATCAGGGTGCCTTTGTCTCTCATTAACGGGGGGAATATGATTCTAACAATACCTGCTTTCTCTCTGAGAACCTGCAATCACATAAAATTGGAGGTGTTCCTGCGGTGTTTTGCCGTTTAGTCTTAAAATAGCTGACATGCAGCCTTGTTTTGTTCTCCTGCAGTTGTCAAGGTAGCTAAGGCCAACAGAGAAATGCACAGGTCCTTGAGGTTACTTCATCTCCATACACAGTGTACCTACATTGTCTTGTATGTGTAAATCTGCCACAAGTTAATTGTCATGCACATTTGTCACACCGCCAGTCAGATGCTCTCCCTGTGGCCGGTACCTGAGCTGTCATGAGCACAGAAAATGCAGACACATACTTACAGTGTAATCTCTGCTGAGCCCTGCAACACTCACATGATGTAAATGCATGACAGCATGCATAATTGCATTCAAACATACCCCAATAATTTTGCTATTTTGCTGGATTTTGAATATTGCAAGAAAATTAAACCAGCATAGCATAATTTTTTTTAACAATACTGTACAACTAATGTACACTAGAAACAGTAACTTTATAATTTAAGTTCATTTTGTGAATATTAAATCCTAATATTTTGCAGCATAGCATACAAAGAGTAACTGAATGCAGGAAAAAGACAAGCGTGCACACAGCTGTTATCTGCACTGCATCAGAGTGAAGTTGACAAACGGCTCTTCTTTCTTCTGTTTTTCTTTTTTCAAGTTCATGACTTAGGGAGAAATCTCGAGTCCCTGCTGAGTTGGAGATGGATGCGCAGGTGCCGCTGCTCTTCGATTTTTCTCCCGGCTTTGCAGAGTCATCCTGGCAGCAAAATCATGAGGAGACCAGCCCTGCCTAGATCACCTGCAACGGTCAGCTGCAAATATTTCATTTTATCCCTGTGTGTCTCTACGTCTTTCTCACTTTCTCCCCCACCTTGTGTGGTCACGTAGTTGAGCGCTTTTTCTTCTTTCTGTTTTTTTCTCTCTCCATCTTTTGTTTTCACTCTGACCTTCACAAGGAGCACACAACCCTCCCCTCAGTTCAGGCTGCTTCCTGTCTTAAGCAAGAGAAGAAGGGATGAGCGGAGCACCAGAAAGGGCAGCTCCTTCACCGTCCAGAATCATGATCAGCTTTTTGTCATCCCCACAGAGTGCAGGGGAAAGTCACATATTAAGTCCACAGTGAAGCCCTGTGAATGCACTAAAGAGTGTGTCTGATTTGATGCATGCCATATAGACTAAAAGTTCTCTCAGGCCTCTGCATTATAGAGCAAAAGTATTGATGTGTCTTATGGAAGCAGCATCAGTATTGCAACACATTGCAGAGTGGTGAGATCCTGTACAAGGTGTGTCCTGCAGTAGGCTTTTCTTTTTTTTCTTTTTCTTTCTTTCTTTTTTTTTTTTTAACAGAGTGGGTGTGGCTAAAATCTTCACTGCACCAAGGCAAAACTTCCACTGGATATCTGTGCGACGGGTCAGTCAAAAACAAGCTCCAGGAGCGGACACAAAGCACTGCACCTCACACGTTTCTGGTGTACATGAATCCCACTTTTATTTTCCACAGAAAAAAAAAAAAGATGTTTCTTTTTTTTTTTTTTTTCTCCTGGTCTGTTTCGGGTTACATTTAAAACCATTCTATGAAAAACTGTAGCACCAGAGCAGATTTCTATTGCCCATTCTTTGATAAAAATGTCAATTTGTGCTATTTTCCAGTTTCAATCCGATTTGATTGGGGAGAGACATTTTCTTTCTTGTATATAAAAAAAAGACTTGCACTTCATTTCTTTTTTCCAGTCATTTGCAAAAGAAAACAGAGAAAACTGTATATCTTATTTTTCTTCATTTAAATCACAACAAATACATTTAAAGCAAATAAAAAAATCGGGCGGTATTTAGCATAATCCAAGCAGGGAATCAGCTTTCATGATGATTATTATTATATATTTATATATTCATATGTATACATATATATATATTATGTTTATATACAAGTATGGCACTTGATTACACAAAAGCAAGAAAACACTTCACAAATAAAAGCAGTGGGCGCTTTGGTGTGTCATAAATTAAGGAAGTCACAGACGTTAGCGTTTGCAGCAAATTCACCAGATACTGTTTTGCAAGTTATCTATTAAGCAATGGAATGGTTACATACTGTATGTTAAGGTCAGTGGTGCAACACAGGCAACATAAAACATGAATTAAGCTGATGTATTTTAACTAGTCAGTAAGGATTTATATATCTATGCATATATAAATCTGGATGGTAGATTTTTCCTTTTGTATGGTGCCATTTAATTAGGTTGGTGCCAGAAAATAGGTGGAAAGAAAATGTCTTAAAAACACCGTCAGGTCAGTAGCACATTTGGATAAGGTCAGGCTCTCCAAGTGTTCACCTCTTAGTGCAATTTTTGCATTTACTCTCTTCAAGTACAGCAGAACAGCCCACAAAGAGTAAATCTGTGAACACTTTAACATGGTCTCCATTTAGCATCTTACAGAGTATAAACGTTACTAAAAAGTTGCATCAGTGCAATAATAAATAAGTAAACAAACGTGTAATCCACGCTTGCCATGAAGTCCATAAAAGACCAACAAATCAAAAAAATCTGCCCACTCTTTAAGTCATGACACGAATTAGGCGTGCGGAGCTGTCCATCATGTCCATCATGGTGTTTATTATTCTTCCTTCCTTTCTTCCTTTCTTTCTTTCTTTTTTTTTTTTTTTACATCTGTTACACTCTTTCCTCCTTGTGTTACACATAAGCAGAATCACTGGACTGAGTGCGGCCAAAATTAGGCACACTCATCCTCGGCAAGTCCTTATTTCTGATCTCATAAATGGACTTTCGCCGAGCCTGCACGCCTCGCACGGCCGTTTTGATTTTCCTCCAGCCCAAATGATTGAGTTCTGCCAGGTTGAGCACCACGCAAAACCCACTGACCGCGAACATGAAGACCAGGAACACTGTCTTCTCCGTGGGTCTGGAGACGTAGCACTCGACATCTTTTATGCAGGGGTAGCGATCACATTCATACACAGACGGAACGTTGAATCCATACAAGAAATACTGACCCACCAAAAAGCCTATTTCCAGCGCATTTCTGAAAACTACCTGGATGATGTAAAACCTGGAGATGCCCTCTTGTCGCCTCATTTTGGACTTTGTAGTTCTCATGGCCGAATTAGGGATCTCTTTGACTTCCAAACAGTCCGGCTCGGCTTCTTTGGTGGAGTTCTCCGTGTTCTGAAGTACTCCATTAACAATGGTGTTCTTTATCTTTTTGCTCTCGTCTCGCTTCAGTGAATCTTGATCCTTATCTAGTGTCAGATAGACTGTTGAGTAGCGCCGCTCCTTCTGCTTGGCCGATTGATGCACCGAGTATGTGATGAAACAAAGACTCGGAGTGCACACCATGATGATTTGAAAAACCCAATATCTAATGTGTGAAATGGGAAATGCCTTGTCGTAGCATGCCTGGTTGCAGCCCGGTTGTAAGGTGTTACAAACAAACATGGTCTGCTCGTCATCATAGACAGTCTCTCCAACTATTGCTACGATTAGAATCCGGAAGATGACCACCACTGTTAGTAGGATCCTACAAAGCAAACAAACAAACAAACAAACAATGTGAAAATAAGTGTAAATATATATGTGCTTTACTGTCAAATGTGGCTGAGTTGTGCGCTGCCCTGGTGGCTGAAGCGCTTCGAGTCAAATCGTGGCGTGTTGATTTGGGGAGCTGTCCAGTGCTGAACCAGGACGCTCCTGGAGATGTGTTTCCCACAATCTGCTTCTTTTTATGTGTCTGTCAATCAGTGTAGACTAGTGTGTGAGTGTGTGTGATTTGTGTGTGTATGTGTGTGTGTGTGTGTGTGTGTGTGTGTGTGTGTGTGTGATTCCATGGTAATGACATGTAAGCAATCGGCGTTGCTTTGACTGTACCTGTGTGAGGCTTGTTAAATGGAAAGAGGTGATAACGCCGACTCTCGCTCAATCTCTTTCTGCCACCCGTGAGTGCACAACCACCACTCAAACTCACCAACAAACATCAAATGGAATAAGTGGATGGATGAATATATGAAACCACTCATGATTATTTTTTCTTTTCCTTTTTTTTTTTTTTTTTAGTTTAGGCTGTTTGACTTTGCAGCACCATCCCAGGTTCTGAAAAGACAGCGGTCAACTCATTTACTACGCTGTCTCGTTCAGGTGGTGGACAAAAAAAGGAATCTGTGAAACACGACAAAAAAATCCACAACACAGACACGGAGGACTGGGCACCATGCTACAGAAGATCCTGGAGTCACAACACAGAAACGGGGGACTGGGGACCATGCTAAAGACGATCCTGGAGGCTGCTGCGATTCTTCGGTTGTTCTTGGTTTTTGCTGATCATCTTACCTTCCTATCATAGTAGAGTGCTGCTGGACAGCAGCCTCCAGGAGCCTCTCTAGTATAGTCCATTCCCCCATTTCTGAGCATCCGGAGAAGACGAAGGTAAAACGGCACTTTGTTCAAATCCCTCCAAAAAAACGCGTTATTTCCCGTCCGGCTTCTCTCTGTCTCTCGTTGTTGTCAGTCTCCACAGCGTCTGAATTTAGCTAAAAAATGCATCCGTCAAGGGATGCTGCTACCGTCCCCGTTTCTCTCTGCGCGCTATCTGGTTGGTTATGCGCTGAGCGCGCAGCGCCAGTAAGCGTCCTGCTGTGTGTGCCGAGCGCTCCCACAACGTTGCCACACTTTTCCTTGTCATGAGAGTCTGAGGGCTGATTACTATAAGCCCTCCTATTTTCGATCTTCAGATCAGGTTGATAGGCTGCGCGCTGCGTCTGGATGGAGGGAGGTTGGATTTAATGTCTTGCCAGCGTTAATCCGCCTTTAAGTAGTCTCCCCCCCACCCCCTCCCATGCGTCACGTACGCACAGACAGGTCGGTGGAGCGCAGCCAGGAGGACCAGGGTTCTGATTTCCAGTATTTTAGTTTTGCATACAACGTGCGCCATACAGTGGTTACTGTTGCGGACGGTTGTGTCCACAGTGCTGTCGCCTACAGTTCCTTGAGTGAATGCATTTCTGCATGGGTGTTTCCTCATGGCATCAAACCCGCAACCACACTGTATTGTTCCATAGCTGCTCAACACACAAAGCTACAGAACTACATGGACAGTATGTATCGTTCTGGGACAGGGCTTGTGAACGTACCGTGTCCTGGGAACGCGGGTCAAGGTGACTTTCGTGTGTTTTGATCTGTAATATGCCAAGACGTCCAAACACTTCTCGCTTATATGCTGCAGAGTGCATGATCTAAACAAAACCTATTGTTCAATCTGTTGCTCTACATCCAGAACCAACACAGTGCCCGGCTTTACAAATGAGCCCAGACTTGTTTCTTGGAGCGGACAGCCTCGCATGGCCAGAGGTATCCCTCCCCATGTCGCAGGCTGCTGGCCCGGCTGGTAGAGCTGTTGTTTCCACCTCGGGCAAAGATGACGCTCTGGATACAGTGACAGAGTGAAAGTATCATCCGAGTTGCTAATCGCTTTACAAGGCAGCCTGCCTGCCTGCCTGTCTCTCTGTGTGGAAGTTTAAAAATAGAAACAAAATATGTGACCCCGCCCTGTATATTGCTTTGTGATTTGATCAACTTATGGCGCTGCATTGTGTGTACACTAATATTAGACCACTGTGTGGATTTGCACTATTTTGAGGCACACTTTATGTGATTGTCATTTTAAACTAGAATCCATAGTGAATGCGTAAACATGCGTTATTAAAAAAATAAAAAGAAAAAAAAAAGAAAGAAAATAAATCGTGTTTCTTGCTACATTTGACACGCTTAGCTCGTATCAAACCATTAAATTGTTTATTTATTTATAAACATTTTGGGTGTGTTTTGTTTGTTTGTTTGTTGTTGTTGTGTTGTCCAATCAGGGTAACCGAGCTTACTGATCACATGACAGCTGTGTTTTCAATAAAGGAAACTTTGCGAGGTTAAATTCTCATGAGATGGCTTATCCCCTCCGTCCACTCTAATCTTTTCTAATTCAAATCTTTAATAACCTTTGCTCATCCATCACGTGGTGGAAGGACAGAGCTTCGCTGCTTTCGAGACACAGAGAGGAAAGAGAGCGAGAAAGGAAGAGGCTGGCCACTTGTTTATTTATAAACCTATTTATATCCACATATAAATTGCACTTGTGTAAACAAAGAATTTGACGACAACACATGAGTTGCTGCTTATTGAGCTGTAACTTCGGTTGTTGGCGCGGACGGAAGGAGGCAACAGAGGGTGAGGACAGTGGGGAAGGGGGGGGGGGGCAGTTCGGCGCTTAGAAGCACTTTCTGTGGACGATGGAGGGTCCAGCCTCATCATACTCCTGTTTGCTGATCCACATCTGCTGGAAGGTGGATAAAGAGGCGAGGATGGAGCCGCCGATCCATACGGAGTACTTCCTCTCAGGGGGCGCGATAATCTGAGCACAAACACGTTTGTCATACTGGGAAACCTGCCACAGAAGGCTCATTTTAGCATTCAACCAGTGCGTAAAGTCACCTTAATCTTCATGGTGCTGGGGGCCAGAGCGGTGATTTCCTTCTGCATGCGGTCAGCGATACCGGGGTACATGGTGGTGCCTCCGGACATCACGTTGTTGGCGTACAGGTCCTTTCGGATGTCAATGTCGCACTTCATGATGCTGTTGTACGTGGTTTCGTGAATGCCAGCAGATTCCATGCCTGTGCGGACACAGTGGACACTTTGGTTGAGTTTCACCCTCCCCTCCACTCCGTCTGACACCGCCCTCAGCTGTCAGAACAGGTGCTGAAACGGACAGCTCCGCCGACAGCTGCGCGCTTTGTGCAGCAAATGTGAACTATAAGCCCTGTGCTTTAGATTACTCGTGTGTGTTCATCAGTGGTAAATCTGCGGTGGATAAACTGTGACCTCCAGTTGGTGTTCATAATTAGTCAGTAATATGAGCAATAAACACATGTGTACTCAGAAAATCATTCCGCCAAAGGTTTGCTCTGAGATTACTCCATGAATAGGGCCAAATATTTAAATCAGAATTATAAGCCAGTAAGTGTTCAGACCTTTTCCTCACTGCATGCTCAGAACAATGATAGAACACTTGATCATCACAGTATAACACCAATTCAACTGAACTTCTGGGATGTACACCGTCGCCCATAAAGTTGGAATAATTTTTGTGTTCAGACATGTTCCTCTTTTTATTTCTATTCATACACATCAGTAATCACACAGTCATTACATACTGAATCTCAGTTAATCAGGTGAAATGAATTCTGACTTGTGGATCTGACTGAAGAGTGGGACGCCCTGCCCTGCCCATTGACACCATCAGCAAGCTGGTGGACAGTATGCTACCATGTCTTAACGCATTGATCCGTGTCAGGGGTGGCCGTACTCTATATTAGTGGCATTTGAAAGAGTAATATTGGACATTCTAATGCATGCATGGAATCCCCTTGAATATGTGTTTCCTGTTATATGACCAAGGTTAAAAAAAATTGAAACAAAAACCTTAATCCTATTGTTCAATACTCCCAATTTTATTTGAGCCCGAATACACAGTGTGCAAAAGTTAATTGTGGTTAAGTTGTTTGCTGTGATATGAATTGTATGTGTATTGTCATATCAATAAAGTTTTGAGAAGACATACACTTTATCTATCAAGAATAAATCACATTGTCACAATCATTCCGTAAGAAGAGGTAAAAAAATATATATATTTAGATTATTCCAACTGTATGGGCAACAGTGTAGATCTGTCCAGTTCGGAAGCTTAAGTGAATCCCCCCTTAGTGGATTATAATATAATTATAATTTTGGTTCCCATTGTCCATTCTTATGTCGTGTTGTTTTCTATAAATGACACAGTGGATATCAATGGTTTAGACATTCCCTTAAATTGTTTTGAGCAGTGTATGTTCTATTTTCCAGTTTAAAAAGTTAAACTATGTGGTTAGAAATCCATAAAATTACATTTACACCTCCGTCTCAATTGAAAAATCTAGGATATTTGAACATATATGCAAATGTTGTTTTTTTTTTCATTTTTGGCGTTTCACTCCTGGATACACGTCTTCTACATCACTAAAAGTCCATTGACAGTGTTTGTGCCTTTCAGGCTTTAGGTTTCCACATTACACTTGGGTAAATTGCCCATTGGAGCGTGACTGGCTCCAAATTAGTTCTAACAAATCCAACCATCAATTCCTTTATGAGTGGAGGGGAGCTTTAACTTAAGGTGCAAAAGTATCACAATAAAAACACTTTGTTCCTCGAAAAGGCTCTGCTTTACTTTCAGAAGCGTAAGTACAAAAATATTATCAGCACGTACTTTTGGTATCAAAGGGGAAAATATTCATTATGCAAAGTGTCTCCTTTCATACTATCTTGTTCTATGTGTGGCCTACAAGCGATTAATTACTGATGCAATAATGTGAAAACATGACACCATAACTTACAAGTTAATAACATGTTTTGCATGTTAACCCTCGGGCCTGAAGCTGTCACTTACAATAAAAAAGTGCAACTTTCCCTTTTGAAATAAAGTGAAGTGGAACTGTAACGGAAAACTGTAGCACCCAAATATAGTAAGTACCTCAAAACTGTACTGTGGCTTATAGTATTTGAGTAAATGTACTCAGTTACCTTTAAACTTAAGTAGTCTGTTAAGGGTTAGGGGATACATTCAGTGAGACTAAAATAAGGCTTAGGATTAAAAACACCATCAAACACATCACCTGATTTATGCCAAAAACTATTTAAATGTTCTATTTTAAGACTGTGGGCATCGTAGAGTTAATTCAGTACGTCTTTGGTGCCACATTGGGACAGTGTCACTGCAACTAAATCAGTGTTTGTATGTCTGAGTTCGCCTTTACGCACCAATGAACGAGGGCTGGAAGAGGGTCTCTGGGCAGCGGAAACGTTCATTTCCGATGGTGATGACCTGACCGTCGGGCAGCTCGTAGCTCTTCTCCAAGGAGGAGGAGGAGGCGGCGGTGGCCATCTCATTCTCAAAGTCCAGAGCAACGTAGCACAGCTTCTCCTTGATGTCACGCACGATTTCGCGCTCAGCTTAAAAGGATCAAATATGGAAGTTGTACTGAGCTGTGTTAAGATTATGCAAAGTTTTGTTTCACTGCTTTGAAGTTTATTTCCGGTTCAAAGTTAAGTGTAAACAAATGTCCAGGGCTACTCTACTACTTTTATTCAGTGTTTCGTGCAGAGAGATGACTGGGACATCAGACAGTTCAGTTCCCAAACAGATGAGCGACTTCCTTTCGGTTTGTGTTGGGAGTTGGACAGAAAAAACAAATGTGTTGCAGGCTACAGTGTTTAAATAATTATGATGTACTGCGTTATCGCCCACCCACGTTTGCAGGGAGGTTTGTTGTTTTGAGTTTACACTCACCAGTTGTGACAAAAGAATATCCACGCTCAG